AAGTTTGGCTAAGGTGATTTGATCCAAAATGCCTTAATTAAAATCGATCCAGATTGAGGTGTCTTTAGAGGCAACTTTCAATACGTGGTTTCACCAGTACAGTCCTTAATAATTCAAATAGCAGCAGCTATTCAGCATGATAGACGTCAGAACGTGATGAAGTGTCGTGAAAATATATTAGTTCTCAATATAAACTGCTTGCCCGAGTTTAATTGAGAAGCAAAAGCTTGACGGGTCCGTAAGGCAGACCTAGAATGTGCCAGCATCAAGGAGACCTCAGGGACGCAAGATTCAATAGCATATTGGTAGAAAGGCATCAAATCATCTACTAAATGATAGTCATGAGACCACTGCCGTCAGATAAATGTCACCGACTTCAAATATTATATACATCTACAGATCCCTCACTTCTAAGATCTGATAAACTGATTTATATTTGAGCTGAAATAAATATAATGTCACTGGTTAAGCAGAATCAATCAACATCTTGCCGTATCTGAAAATCCGTTACACAACTGTAATCAGAACATGCCGGTAACACTGAACTCTGGGAACTATAAATCTTTCTCTTTTTTTGTAATGTCAACATTTCATCGAAATAATTATTATACGTATGTATGTATGTATGTTCGACTTCAGGAAGGGCCAAAGATAATCGACTTTTCTCTCTTCACCACGCAAAAATTACATCTACAGCGAGGACTGATACGGATCATCGATTTCACAGCTGCCTAGGTACGGTAATATCGGAACATACATGTAAAAACATGCAGATTGATTGTGGAATTTCGAACTTGCGACACCGTAAATCGCTTAGAGATGAGACAACCTAATGTGATTCCCTCGCCATAGAATGCAATTTGTCCTGGCACTTCTCCTACGGGCCGAATGGTGCGCCTGCAATCTGCTTCAACATCGTCTCCGCATGGCACGATCTCTGTAATCCTCCCCCGGCAATATTACGAGGGATGTCTTTTAAGTTTTGCATATAGAAACATAGTAGGCTGCGCGGATCGAATGTCAGTACTGAATCTTAACCTCACTCTTTAGTAAACTGAAATTCAAAGTTTCACTACAATACGTGCAGTGTTCTCACTACAGTGAATTTTTAAGTGTCACCAAGTCATTAGAAAAATGGAACTCAACCGAGAACATTTTCGCGCCATAATCATTTACAACTTTCAGAGACAATTATCGCAACAAGAATGCCTTGCTGAGTTACTGTCTGTTTTCGGTAACGAAGCGCCATATCAGTCGACAATTTCCCGTTGGTATGGAGAATTCAAACGTGGTCGGGTGAGTCTTAGCGGCGATTCCAGGGTGGGTGCACCAAAAATGGCAGTCACCCAGGAAAACGTCGATGCTGTGCGCAAACTCATCATTGAAGATAGACATGTGACATATCGCGAGATTGAGGCGTCCTTGAAGATCTCAAAGGCCTCAATTCAAAAAATTTTACATGAAGAATTAGGAGTAAGAAAATTAGTTTCTCGTTGGATACCCCACCTGTTGACTGAAGAGCAGACCGTTTCAATTCCGGAAACTCAAAAAATGTGTACAGCATTGTTAGTGGTGATGAATCGTGGATTTACTGTTATGAACCAGAAAATAAACGACAGTCGGCTGTTTGGGTGTTCCAAGGTGAAGAAAAGCCAACAAAAGTCATGTGTTCTCGAAGTGTTTCGAAAAAGATGGTCGCGACATTTGTGTCAGAAGGGTCATATTCCAACAATTCCTCTAATGTGCAAAGAACTGTGACTGTGGATTGGTATACCACCATCTGTTTGCCAAAATTCATCACCGAGCTTCGAAAAATCAACCCCGAAAGAAGAATCATCCTTCACCAAGACAATGCAAGCTCACACACAGCACAAAAAACAAGGCAGTATTTAACGGAAGAAAACGTGGAATTATTGGACCATCCTCCATATAGTCCCGAAAGTTCTATAGATTTCTTTACTTTCCTGAAAATTAAAAACAAACTGCGTGGTTAAAGGTTCCAGTCACTAGAAGAAGCAGTTGAGGCATTCAAAAATGCCGGTTTGGATCTGCCAGCAAACGAGTGGAAGAAGTGCTTCGAAAATTGGTTCGAGTGCATGCACATGTGTATTAATCTTCGTGGAGAATACTTCGAAAAACAATAAAGTCATTTAAAACTACCTACCGTGTTGTTTTATTTCTATATGCAAAACTTAAAAGACATCCCTCGTATCTACACTTCAAGCTTGTTTGCATACATCGATGTCGCGTCTCGTTGCTGTCTCAATCAAGAGAATCAAGGGTATATGTCATATAGTCTTGGAAAACAGGTGTCTAAGCAAATCGGCAGGTGTATTCGTAAGTTGAAGAGTGACATTACATCGTTTTTTTGACATTATGTAGGTTTTCCAACAAGACGTCAACTTGCAACTAGCTGTAGTTCATTTCATGCGCACTTGTAGCTAGCGCGGAATGAAGTATTCGCACGCTAGCCTATTTATCCAACAAGTTGATATTTTATAGATTTTTTTTGACATTATATAGATTTGCCACATAATAATCCTACGGGGCAAAAGATTATTCACCTGGCAGAGGCTTAATTTTTGACGAAGGCCCAATATTCCGTGGGCAGAAGTACCAGGAATTATTAGACTCAAAATAAATCTATTGGACATGATTTACCCCTATGCAAAAGTGCTTTTTTGTCCATTAGAAGGTGTCAAAGTTTCCCTTTTAAATCACATTTCTTACAATATTCTAAGAACGGATGGTCCGATTTGAATGAGATTTGTAACACTTATGTTTTGGTAGACGTTCAAACATTTTTTTTTTTTTTTTTTTTATACTCCAACTACCACGAAGGCCTAAGGCCTAAGCACCCATTGGGTACCGTGGGGCTATGGGGGATACATGGGAAAGGGGGGACGCCACACGGACTCTGGCGAGGGAACACGTGTGCATGCAACATGCACACATTCTGGCTCCGCCTACGAGAACCGCCGGGTGGTACCTCCGCGTTCGACAGTCAGAGACCATCTACCACCTACGGACAATCACAACATCCATGGCCAAGAGAAACATTTCTCCTGGGACGGGACTCGAACCCGCACAGCGCACGGCGGCTGATCAGGAGACCGAAGAGTCTACTACTGCGGCCACCGCTGCTGCCTAAAACAAACACACAACATCCATGGCGAAGGCGAGATTCGAACTCGCGGCCCGGCCGGCCGGCTGATCAGTAGCACGACACTCTGACCCACGCGGCCAACCGAGGTGAATTTCACGAAAAACTCTAAAGAGTTTGAGAAAGGTGAAAACTACCCTCGCCCATTTTTGACAACTTTCCCGACGACTCCTTTTATTTAGCAGATCTTTTTGTTTACGTCTGTCTTGTCTCCTATAAAAACAGGCCATCTCGGATAGTTTTCCAGAGAAAAAATGAGTTGCACCAAGAGATTCCCAAACGTCTTATTAATTCTCTTACGGCTTGTGCGTACAGTGGTCGGTGACTTGTTGGTGATTGTGTCTGGGATCCGGCCGAGTGAATTCCGACTATATAGGGTAGCAGAATGAACAGAATTTGTGTGGCGGGATCTTGCACAAGAATACTGATAGGTTGACGATAGCTGTAAGATCAAGGAGTATGTGTAGTTTGCGAAAATAAAGAAGTACGGTATTACTTGTTACAGACTTATTACAGTTTTATATCATACAGGCATAAATGTGAATCATTCATAAAAGACGTTCAACCATTTTCGTTCCTGCACATAATAAAACGGTGTAAAAAAGTATAGCTAACTTTCTCATTATTATTTAATGTATTTGTATCATTTTGACCCCTGTCCCATAGTTGATTGGAGTTGTTTATCTGAACCTCGTATACCTGTGTCTTTAATGCTCCCCATTTAAAAAATCGCATGGATTAAGATCCGAGGAACGAGGTGGCCATTGAATGGGAGCTCTACCAATCCATGTACCATCATTCGAGTAATTTCTTACAGCACGCGCAAAATGAGATGGAGCATTAACGTGCATAACAAACATGTCAATTCTTACATTCAGAGGCAGTTCTTCTATTAATTCAGGTAAAACGTATTGTAAAATGCCTTTCTTAAAATGCATGTGGATTTGATTCAGCGTAAACATGTGTATTATTTAAATTTATCATATCAAGTAGGGTAAAGCATGACTTATCTGTAAACAAATTTTTCTTATGGAATGACCTATCAGCTGCTCTGCGATCGGATACGTTTTGTACAAATCTCAAACGTGAGTCATGATCAGTAGGCAATAATTCCAGGACAGGCGGAACGTGACAAAAACGATTGAGTTCTTCATTGAAAATCCGATTAACAGGACTTTTTTGACCTCCTTGTTCCTGTTCTAATCTACGAGTGCTGATACCTGAATCTTCTTCGATCATTTCAAGAACAGCTTCAGACAAAAAATGAATCAAATGCGAAAAAAATCCTCTATAATCTATGTGTAGGTGGGGGAGTATTCATCCAACTCGAACCCGTTCGGGTTATTTTGTAGAAGTTAAATATTAGGAAGTCTAACAAAACACAAATTTCATTCAAATCGGACTATCGGTTCCAAAAAAATCTGAAAAATTTGTTAAAAAGAAAGCGCATTTGCATGAGTGACTTATTTTGAGTCTAAAATTAAGTACTTCTATGTCCATGGAATATTGGGACACCCTGTAAAACTTATATAGGATTGCAAACTTCTTTGAAATGAAAACAATACAACTTGCTGATTCACTTGCGCAAATGTATTAGTTGAAATTCCTATTATACAGTAATAGTCTAGCTATGAGTATTTTATATTTCAACAGTGAGTTATATCTTCAGCATTTTTTATTACAATTTGAAATAACTACTTTGTACGCATAAAATAAAATTATAAATGCACAAGCTTCAAGGCTGCGTTAGAAGCTCAGAAAGCATTACCAAGGTGCTGATGCTGAGGCGTACGTTGATATAATTCAACAGAATAATACATCCATTTTTCTTTTTCAGGAGGCATCTTATACTATCCTGTCAGGGAAGTCTGAATATTTTTCCGTTTGATGATCCCAAGTGCACTTTTTCCATGGAAAGCAGTGAGTAATAATTTATTTCTTTATATTGCACATCTTCAAGCTTCATTCTCAGTATCATGAGAACAGTGGCGTCGCTAAGAAGTTCGTTTTTTAATGGACAAGATGACACAAACCATTGATAAAATTGAATTAAGTAATTCATTCGTACGAATAATGTAGCTATACATCAGGCCAACTTATACACTGAGAACCAAATTTGTCAGATGGCTGTAGTTCAATGTGTATGAGAGAGAAGTGTGTATATAGTAGATACAGCTCGTCAAGTGTAGGAAGAGATGCGAATTTTTGAATAATGTCACGCCTTCTCGGTGCACAGTAGCTAGCGGTTCAATTCACCGGACGAAGCAGTAGTCTCTAGTCGTGTATACTCGTAGACTAGTTAGCGTACAGTCAGGAGAAAAATTGTCAGGCAGTGAAACGACTTTATTGCTTATTATCTGTGAATTGTATGTATTGTTACGAATTCGTTGGTTGAATACATACAATTTTGCGCTATTAATTGTCGTCATTCATTTCTTGTGTCCTAAGAGATTTACTCGTTCATAATGGATTTTAAATCCAAATTACAACGTAAAGTTTTATCAGGGAGGTTGTAGCAAATGTTATATTCTTTATGTAACGAGAAGCAGAAAGAAATAAACCTAAAATTATTGACAATTAAAAATAGAATGAGTACCAATCAATTTCAGTCTTATAACTATATAGCGTGCAATACTTATTTGATGGAATAAATGGTGTTGGTGTCCTTATTTCTATGTTAATTTCATTTATATGTATAAATAATCACATAAATCCGATTTTTAACTCTCATTCGGTAGCGAACAAGTGCGGAAACATAAAACTATTTCTCTAAAACTAATGTATTACGGCAATTTTGAAAATGCAGTATATAAAACTTGTTTTTTTAGATGCTTCTGGTGGACCTACAATTGCATTTTAAGATATCCTAATGATATAGATTCGTTAATTGTATATAACATACTCTCAAATTCAATTCTATAATGCACATAAACTCAACCCATTGAACAAATTTTCTCTAAGAGTTTTCGAAACACATGAAATACTGCAGGCAATAGATAGCTTAAGAACGGGTGCTCGTGAAATTGATGATCCAGCGCTGACAATGATAGAACTACTAAAGTTAATGAAGTTACCAAATTTAGAATATTGGTCACACGAACTGATATTTAAAAATTTGACACATGCCAACAATTTCGATTAAAAATACCAGGCTTCACATAATCGGTATTCCATTATTGAAATTATTCGATTAATTTAGGACGCAGACTGTACCATTCGAGATCGAATGGCACGTATTGTACATGCCGTCTCTTTTGCTCCGAATGCGTTGTCCTTCTCTCGTGTGCGCAATTCCAGCAAATCCTCATATCTCTTCCTACACTTGACGAGCTTTACATACTCGTATGTTAGAAAGAGCTAGAAGCCGGCTGGATAGCGAATATATTACACCAGTTCCTCGAATTAAGATGCATGTTGAAAACTTGCGTTAGTTTACTCTCTACGCCCAAATAATGGCTTTATTTTGAACTTACACGTTTTTGAATTTTGAATTGTGTCGAATCTGTATAGGATCTATTCCGCATCGGTCCTAACGAAGCTCCATTTTGGTCGAAATAAAAGGTCACGATCGTCACAAATTCTGCAACGTTGCAACATTGGTTCGCTTGTCAACACCGCATCTCGTACATTCCAAGGCAAGGTTTCTACCTCAATGATCATAGATGAGCGATTTTGGTCAATACCCATCTAACGCTCATTGGCGGGTCGTCCTGTTTCGGTTATCACCGTACACCCAGGTACCGTCGCAAAATGAAACAATGACTCAGGATGTATTGATTTATCACCAACAGTGGAAATCAAAAGCAATTCTAAAATAAATCAAAACACTCAGTCGCATCAAAATTGAAATGAATAATTCCAATTAAAATGAAAATAAAATTTTAAATTAAATGTTCGAACACGCCTCTTTCTTGGGTATGCCATTAGCCTAACATAATGTAGAAGCATGTGCGAACATTTTCTGCTGTAACATATTGGCAACGCAGCAGATTGCATGAGCTTCTGCGTCACAGTTGTTAGGCAATGTGGTGATGACCTTCGCTATTCAGCCGATTTCCATCTCTTACTAACATGTATTTATACACACTTCTCGCGCTTTTCTCTCGTACAGATTGAACTGCAGCCGTAAGATAAATTTATTTTTCCCTGTATAATTAAACGCTGCAATAATCTGTTGATTACTATAATCAACGAGGTTCGCTCTTGCATTGTACTTCATATCCATTTTTGACTTTCAGTATCGTATGAGATGACGTCGATGCGATATGTATGGAAAAATGATGAAGATGTGCTCAGGAAATCACCTAGTCTTACAACGCTCAATGCCTACTTGATCGCAAATGCCACGTTGCAGTGTCCTACTAAGTCTATCTGGAGAGGTAAGTTTTCAATATGATGGGAAACAACTCAGATATTATATTCACAATAATATTTGGGTGAGAACGCATTCTGTATTTTTGATGACACCTGAGTTAATTTATCTTTATTAATGAATTTACTTTGAAAGACATAGATCAGTATATAAGTGCCACCGTTTAAAAAGTAAAATTTAAAAGCTCTCTGTGTCACAGCTATGGTGGGCTACAATGTAAGAAATTTGGAATTGAAAAAAAATAATGTATTGTTTCTAAAATGCGGGATGTTGAGTAATTCAACATTTTTCCAAAGTTCACAGAAAATCTAATCACGTGATAGGGTCAAGCTGCCCTTTTGTGACTCTTTCTCGCAAATAAAGGCCTGTTATTATTTTATTAATTTTATTGTTATTATTATTATTGACTGGAAATGATAACCTTGTAACCCGCATTGGAAATTAAAATTAATTCATCGTGGCTGATTCCTCCAGTCGGAAGTACAAAAGGTTTCAGTTAATTATTTTCCAATGGAAACGTTAGGAATACTTGCTTGTTTGAGCTTGATGCATCATGAAATAAGTTAATACAAATAAGGTCCCTCAATAATAAGAAGTTCAATTTGGTCAAATTCAGAATTCGGAATTGTCCGAGAAAATCCTAATGTTCTGCTGTTGAAATTGTTTCTGCGACTTACAAACCGGAAAGCTTTGTGTGAAAAAATTAGCGGAGGGTATAAAAACAGTATTATAATGAAATGCACCAAATATGGTCTATAAGCAGCTTTTGCTAACTCCGAGCGTAATATACAGATAAGGTCGAGCTTAGATGGGGTTACCAAGGCATATTCCATAAAAATATTAGAGTAATAAATTACAAGTTACAAGTACAAGCACATAATAGATATACTCGTATATTACCAACTGTACCTAGAAGAAAGGTCACCCTGGGCCCTATCCCATAAAAAGTGTGGTGTAATAATTACAAGTTAATTTACTTGTAAATACTGTAAAAATGGCATTTCGTGAATCAGTGGATTTAGCAGCAAGTTAACAAAGGCATGTATGGCAAGATATTTTAGAAAAATAAGACTAGCTGTCCGGTATCCGGTAAGAACTCCCCGAAGAAAGACGTAGCAGTGCTCCAGAGATCCTTTTTGCCCTGATTTAGTACAACTTCCTTATCGCTGATCATTCAAAATGACACCTTTGAATACGATATTGATACTTCCTTGGAGTATGAGTCACCGAGGGCTCAGAATTTCCCCGATAAAGTGCTTCTCTATGGTTCGAATAATGTAGGAAGAAAGAACACTACAAAAAGAAAAAATGGAATTATCAGAGTTGAAAAAATTAAAACGAATCTTCAAATAGAATTTTTTTTTATACTCCAACTACCACGAAGACCTAAGGCCTAAGCACCCATTGGGTACCGTGGGGCTATAGGGGGATACATGGGAAAAGGGGGGACGCCACACGGACTCTGGCGAGGGAACACGTGTGCATGCAACATGCACACATTCTGGCTCCGCCTACGAGAACCGCCGGGTGGTACCTCCGCGTTCGACAGTCAGAGACCATCTACCACCTACGGACAATCACAACATCCATAGCCAAGAGAAAAATTTCTCCTGGGACGGGACTCGAACCCGCACAGCGCACGGCGACTGATCAGGAGACCGAAGAGTCTACTACTGCGGCCACCGCTGCTGCCTAAAACAAACACACAACATCCATGGCGAAGGCGAGATTCGAACTCGCGGCCCGGCCGGCCGGCTGATCAGTAGCACGACACTCTGACCCACGCGGCCAACCGAGAATTCTTTAAGTTATGATGTATATCACATAATTATTATTTGAAATGACTCTACTGTATTTTAATAATAAAATTTAGAAAATTTACAGAGCTTTTTTTAAGTCCATTAAAACGCGTTGCTTATTTTCAGCTGAGTTTGTGAACAGTTATATGGTAAAATTAGATGGGGTCCATCTTGATTGGTACCTATCTTAAATCCCTATGATAGCGTCCATTGAATTTAAATTCTATACCAAAGAATTGACTCTCATTTCAAATAGCATCTGTTGTTACAATCTTTTCGAATTTTTTGTACCATTCGACTGCTTTTTCCGACAGTTGAATAATAACTATGTTTTTTCCTAGTTAAACCTTCGACTCGGACTGTATGACTCCAGTTCTGCTTGCGTACCTGTGGCATGAACATCCATTAGCGAATCTATCCATCCATTAGCCTCACAAATCCAAAATGAAAACCATCCGCAACGTCGACTGCACGTCGTAAAAGTCACCGTATATCAAATATAATACAGCAACGCGATTCCCTCAAAGTTACATTGCATGTTGGGGCACATTTCTATGACCTCGAGCGCTCGGCACGTGTATCATGTAAAAACCTATAAAACGTTGAAAAAATCCTATAAGATGTCAACTTGCAGACAAGGTAGTTTTTAGGGCACAGTCATTCCATCTTTGCTCACTGGGATCGTTGTGAACGTCCATCTATGAAGGAATCACTCAACTAAACTACACGCCTTATTGGTTGCATAGTTTTGTGAGGCTGAGTGATCCGTGTCTGTAGTTTTTATCTCTGAGTAGAGAACTGGTTGAATAGCAAGATCGCATCTGGATGATTATGTGTATTGGTCTGCATATGTATAAAATCAGTGATATTTGCTGTGTGAGAAAATCATCACTGAATATGCTGAATATGACGGGTTATCTATATGTTGTGCTGTCTGAATAGAGGTTATGTTCAAAGTTATAAATTACGAAAAACTGAGGAGAATTACGGGAAATCATCACCGCGCCCGCGTTGGGTGTAATTACCGTTATCATGTATATGGCTTGTACTTTGACAGTGTACAGTGAATGTAATTATTTCAGAATGTATAAGAAAAAGTGTCTCCGCAAGTAATTTCTAGCATTGAATCTCCATTAAGTGTATTTGAGACAAGAATCCAATGGAATTATCATCAACACATACAACTTACAGATTAGACCTCCAGTAATGCCATCTCTGCAGCAGATTTTACATAACATCAAAGCCAAACATTGATAACTAAAGCCACATGACGTTTAGACAGCACGTACAACTAAGTGCTAAGTTAACATCTTGTAGAAAAACCTACATAATGTCCAAAAAAACAGCATAATGTCAAAGAAAAATCAGAATCATGTAACTTTTCAAGATACCTGTACGTGGTACCGGTGCCGCTCACGCTGCGAGAAGGTGCCACGCGAATCGAGTCCCACGGCTGATGCTCTGTTATGGTCTAGTCAATAGGTCCCACAACATGATTTTGGCTCAGTATAGTACCAGTATAATCACTCTGGCTATGGGAACTGGATGGCTACATAGAAAAACCAAGACAACCAGTAATCATCAACCTCAATAGCAAGGACGACCGTGACAGTGACAATTCTGACAATTCGAGCTCAAGTAGTGACGATACTATTTTGTACAGGCTTATACAGGGTAATTCATAAGTCGTGACTAAAAAATGTTTAAGTTTAGAAATAAAAAACATAATTTTTTTAAATCTTCAAAACCATCCACTAGACTGAACTAAAATCTGGTATTGTCCACATTCAAAAGTCTTTACATAAAATTATTATTTAATACTGCTTCAAACTACGTACCATATATCTCCTTTGTTTCAATCAACTAAAAATCACATCAACATTTAGTAAGAAATTTCCATTCTCTCATTTGTCATAATACCTTCAGTGATGTATCATTGTGTGATTATGACATATGGAATGCTCTAAAATGTTCAAAAATCATGGTAAATCAACGTCTAAACTGAGAAAATCACTAATCATTTGACAATGGCATTCCGCGATTCGAATTCAGACACTAACGGTTACATCAAAACATGTGAGAAATGTCTTTACTGGAAGTCTTTAGATATGAGATTTCTTGGCGCATATATACTTTCAGTGGGAAGTCAAACCACTTCTAAAATGTTAAATGTCCAACCACTGTCGGTCTCCCGTCCATACCGACAAAGGGTAGACGCCTTTCAAGTTCGCCACTGCCTTCAATTTTGATACCAGACTATAATATCTGTCCAACGAGTGGGTTTTACGCGCACGCAGAGCAACACTGGTTCTAGCATATAGAGTGCACCAATATTAGCTGAGCTGTCGACGCACTCGCTTCCCCTCAGTTCCGAGCTAGCAGCCGTCACGAGCATACACTTGTGCGACTGCGACCCACCCGGACATATTGAGCAATCTTATTGCAATTTTCATTGCGATAGATTGTTTGTTTGCCATCTACGATGGCAAAAATTGAGAAGCTGGCTAACCAGCTGAAAGAAAAGAAGGATGCTTTCGCCATGCTGGAAGAGCAGATGCGAAACCTGCAAGAAGCATTCTTGCAGGCCAGACAGGAGATTGAAGACCTGAGCGGGAAGCTCCGCAGGGCCAAGAAGAAGGCCGCAAAGAAGACAGGAGAAGAGGAGGAAGAGGACCACCAGGCGACATCGGACGAGATGGACGCCCAAGAAGAGGGCACTCAACAGACCGAAGGACCGAAGGAAGAAGAAGCCGAGAAGAGGACGGACGACACCGACTTCAGTGTCGCCACCAGACGGAGGAAGCGGGTGCGAGTTTCCTCCTCCGAAGAAGAAGAAGAACCCAGGCAGCGAAAGATGCCAGCTGCCACAAAGAAGAGTGGTCCTAGAGCAACCAGGACCACCGAGGCCCCCATGGCAGGAACAGGAGTTCCGCCAATCAACATCGAGGGCACCGCTGATTGGTCATCCTTGAGTAGGATGATGAACAGCAAGGGGATTCAATTCTCCAAAGCGAGGACGGCGGGTACCAGTGTGAAGGTATTCACAAATACACCAGCTGACTACCGTCAGCTAGTCGCACTGCTTGAATCCATCAAGCGGCCCTTCTTCACATATCAACTGAAGGAGGACAGGATGGACCAGAGGGTCATTCGTGGGCTTCCGAGAGAGATGTCAGTCAATGACATCAAAGAGGATCTGGTGAGCCAA